AACACTTCACAGATCACAGATCTGAAAGTCTGTCTATCTGTCGGGCTGTTTGTTTTCTTGTGTTTAATATTTGAGATATCTTGATGAAATTTTGCCCACCGGGGTACTGTGGCCGAAATACGCTATTGAAAATGGTTCGGATCGGAACACGTTTTCAACCGCTTGCCATATAACGTCTTGTTTGAAAAGTCGTTATGTGAGTAACTGTAGGGTGGTATAGAATATTTAATGGCAGGTCGGGCCCGACTAAAGTATTCTTACTAGTTTTTGTAGTTATTAAAAATGAGGTTGAAAGAAAGCATGGAAGGACCTCAAGAGAAAATTCTCTAAATTTTAAAAACAGATTTTTAAAAGAATTTTAAATTTACCTTTTATTAGAATGTTAAGTTTTATAAAAAAAAAGAAAAGAAAAAATACATTATGGTCGAACACGACCCACCATTAAATACCCTACATCATCACTTCGCTTAATACTCTCGTTATCAAGCTTTTTAAAATAATAAAATGATACGATCCGAATCATTTGCAATAGCGTTCGTCCTTGGGCCGTGAGCTGGAAAACATGGACGGACATGCAAGATGGGTCTATCTCAACTCTTTCTCTTCTAAGTGTTACATATATCCGCACCAACTTAATATACCTTTCTACCACAAAAGGCTTCAGTACAAAAAAAAAGAGTTTTTTTTATGCATTTTTTTACTCTCTTCCTTTAAACTATATAAGAGCTTTTATCAATTTTTTTAAGGACATGCGCGTTACGACTATCTTTTATCACCGATTGTTTAAACTTTCATTTAATTTTTTTGTTCTTCTCGTTTTCATATTCTAAGCGTTCGAAAGCAAAGTTTTCGCTTTTGTTCATGCTTTCAATAACAGTTTTCTTTTCACATTTTCGTTTGTTTCCTGCGTTCCTGTGCTATTAATATCGAATATCACATCATATTTGCACGCTGCACGTATGGACACAGTAGTGCATATAAAAAGAGAATCTTTCATTACCAATTTTTTTAAAGTACACCCCACGAAATAGTATATGCTAGGTTTAGTAAATACTTGAAAGGTCGGAGAACCAATTGATTAGCGTTAATAAAACTGATTTTATCATGTCGTCCTGTTTGCCTCCATCTTTTCGTCCGTCTGTCCGTTTGCTAACGTCAATCCGTCCGTTCTGCTATTCTAATCAACTATACGGATGCGAGAGTTAATACTTTATTTAGCAGTCTTCCATATTCCTTATGAGTCTTCTAAATTCCTTATTCCTATCAGGATAAGTTTAAAAGTACTATCAAAATGCCGAGACTTTAAATTCGGTCTTCATACTGTGCTTATAATAAAATCTAGGCGAGACAATTAACTACTCGTAAAGGGCTTTTTGGGCTATCTAAGAAGCTGCCTAGAATAGATCTTTGCTTTAATTTACCAAAAAATATTGTATTCAATCTGAGGAATTCCTGAGACAATTCCCTATAAACGGGCTCGTAGGCGGTATAAAAAATCCCTATATACTTAGTATACGATGTACGATTTTTTATAAAACGAGATAAAACTTTGCTTTAATTTGCAAAAAAAAAAAAAAAGTATTGTATTGCAGTTAATGATTGTTCCTCTAGAATTCGGCCTAAATCACAGAAACTGTTTGCTTGGATTCCTTTTTGGTCTCATTGTAAGCGTACGCCAAGTGGTACATCATTGCATAAGGCGCACAGAATTGTATTAAATTCTCATTCTTTTATATTCTGTTCTAGTTTGCTTCGCTCCCATTTATAAATCTATATATCCACATATATATCGAATGCTCTTTGACAACAGTACGAGTTGCATATGGCTTTTGCCATATGCCACCGAACTTTTTTACTATACTCTCCTGTTCCTCCACGTTAAAGTTATTAGTTCGGTCTACGCTTCACGTAGTTAATGAAAAAAATCTAAAATACTTTGATGACGTTATGATGCTATTGCTTCAAAGGAAGTGGAAATATTCCACATTATTGTAGTCTTGCTTATTTTAGGCCGTTTAATGTTTAGTCTATTGCCTCTATTGGAATGATTACATCCTACGTCAATTATCATATAGTGTATATTAAATTTGAGCGACTGTTTGTGACATACGGAAGAATTTAAGGTACATTTATTATGTCGATTAATTCGGAATCATTTTCTGAATCGATTTAAGCTTGCCTGTCGAAACTGTCTGTCCGCGGCGTTCAACGTACCTGGTCGCAATTTTAGAGATATTTTCACGAAATGTTATAACCTCATGATTTTCATTCAAAGGAAGAATTCTGTTAGATCAGAGTTATTCTGAACAAAACGTTTTACGAAAAAAATGCAAATTTAAAAAATTGCTAATGTTTTGAATCTCCTCAACGTCTTTTAGGACGCAACTCTTTATAGGGCGCCAGAGTCTAACTTTTGATATTTCATAAGTGACGCTTAATCCATGATAGCAAGTTTGGTCAAGAATTAATTAAACCAAACTTGGAATCAGTAGGCGTATTTTTTGGAGTCCGTCTTGTATAGCACTTCTCACGGCAAGAAAGCCTTTATATGACAAAAAGATCAAAATTGTAATGTCTAACGATGAAATTTGAACCATAATAGTAATGCACCCTAGAAGTTTAGATTGCATAGGTCCACCCAATCCACACAAAGTTTAACATTAACATAACACGTCGCTCAGGAGATATCCCATATAAACGCGTACACACGGTGATAGTTACAAAGGAGTTGGCAGAGGCGGATAGAGTCTGACCAAAGGCTGGTATATGATATCCGATTGGTACCTTTACTGATCGTGTATTGACTGCAGTTGTGCCCGTACGCCAGTGATAATTTAGATATGGCCTACCGCACAGAACCTTAAAACTGGGTATATCAGTTCGCTAATCGTGTTTCTTATGTATATGGCTATGCCTTGGGAACGACAAGAAATTTTGGATACTTCGTTACGAAAATAGATAAAGAATAACCTCTATAATCTCTGCATCTCAAAACAGTCTAACTTTTATTACTTTATTACAAAAATTTGGCGATGAATCGAAAAATGTAACTGCGCCAAAGTTGACCTTGTGTTCTGGACATAAAATTCTTAAACGAGTTCTCGTGAAAACTAAAGCCTACTATGTAGTTTATAACGAAGATGAAGAGTGAAGAGTGATGGGATCTTTGACAGGAAATTCCATGTAAAGAGTCTCGTGAAGAGTAGACCTTTGAACTATTTGTTTTATTTCATCAGAGCTATAAACGAAGAACTATAGCAAGTACGCTGCTATACGATATTTTATAGTTGGTTTCGCCCGGCCGAAATGTCTTTACTTCCCGCCAATTTCCTTCACATTTCTTTATATTTTTCACAACAAACGTGCGTCTTTGATTAGAGGAAGGCACTTATTCATCCCTCTATTGTTTAGTGTTTTACGATTAGAAATATTTGTGCAGAAATTTGAAAATATTAGCGGATCCGCGTGAGTCCGCGCCTACCAAGTCAATATTCGCGGGCTCAAAAGTCAAAGTCGATAGAGTTTTTCTCTGGCCAAAGCTATAGTGAATGGGTAAAAGCATTTTATTGGCTGCGCCCAACACCTCTCTTTTCCTTTCGCTTACCTCTATTCTTTCTGACTGCCACCGTGTTATGCGAATAGGGAACGTCCCCTGAGTGATTGGTCACATAAAACGAGGAAATGTAGAAAACTGAAGAACACTAATAGATAGCTCCAGAACGAATGATCATGATTTGAATCTACCGCCAATGGTTATAACTTACAACTTATAGCAAATTTGAATGCCTTGGAACATGAACGATGCAAGACCAACCAAACGCTGGGAAACACTTTCGCAAATAGCGTATCTACACCTAAGAAAATATATTTTTATATTTGTCTCCACCGCATATTTACTTTCCAGCACTAGCTTTTGGGCAGAGGTCATTTAACACTTAGCAGCCATCTGAATCCCTAGATTAGATTTTTCGGTTTCATTAACCCTTGTTAAATACCCTCATTCGAAACGCTTTGAAAAGTGTAAATTTCAAAATCATTCCTATAATAACAGACAAGGAATGCAGGAAAAAAAAAATATTTCATAATATTTTCTCGCTTGCAACTCATACATGATAAATGAAAAGAGAACACGCCAGAGAAATAAATAACAAATTATAATAGTAATGTATAAGAGTATTAAAGCTTTAGAATGTAGAAAGCGCGCATTTAGATAGTTCTTGAGTAGTAATGACTAGCTTTCTAAAATTTAAAATTAACTAACTTTGTCTACTTTACGCCAACTACTCGCTAACATAGAACTATAAAAAAGAAAAAAAAAACCACAAACATATAATTATATGGAAATGAGTATAACTTATCTTCATCTCTACCTTATTATAACTTACCTTACCCTAGGCTACATTTTCAATGTATGCATATTTCTATTATTACGTCGGATAATTTCATGGCATTAAATGATTGGGGCCATATTTATGCTTAAGGATAGAGAGGAAAAAAACATTAGAGAAAGAGTACGAGCGAGAGATAGAGATAGACAAAGAGAGTGATTGTGGTGAGAGAGACATTCTGTAACAAGAATGTAATCAGATTTATAAAGAAAACTTGTTGTTTTATGTTTTCTAAATAGAGCAGAAAAGAGTTGCGACAGATATAACGAAAAAGTAGAAGAGAGGAGAGCTGAAAGAGACCTGTTGCTGGAACATATTTTATAGTTTTATTTATTTATGATGAGGGGATACACATGCATATACATTCAGAAGTGTTTATGTTTTAAAATAGTTCACACACTAAACACTAACCCTCGCGTATACATACATATATAGATAACACTTGAAATCGAAAATAATTGCATTTATTTGTTGTGCTACCTTTTCTCATTTATCTAAAAGGTTGTAGAATCCTTTCGTGTTCATATGATAATACATAGAAAAAAATATATATATATATATATACGATAAAATTATAAATATTTTACGTACAATTTAAGTAAATAAACTTACCGCAAACATTTGCTGACGTTGTTCTGAAACCAATTTCTCACTGGAACCCTTTAAAAGTTCAGCCAATAATTCCTGCGTGGGTAGTATATTTGTGTTGGATGTCTGTGCTGTTGGTGTCGTTGCTGTGCTAGCTGCAGGCATTCGTGTTGTTGTTGTTGACACTGTTAATGAATGTGAATTATTTTTACTTTTACTGCCCGAGTTGATATTAGTAGTGACGTCTAGGCTACGTTTTGGTTGATGTAAATGCTGTAAATATGTATGACTCGGTTTTTCACCACTCATCGATTGGCTGCGTTGACTGTGATTTGATTTTAGGGCAGGTGTTTCCGAGGAGGCCCTCTTCGTTACGAGGGCATGTGCCACCATGTCTCGTCCATGATCGGAGGGAAATGAAGAAGGAGCGGATGCTGTTGTGATATCTTCCTCACCAATCGTTGAATTATCGAAAGAACTTTGATAGCGTTTCTCTAGAGGTTTGATGTCATCGCTGTCAATAGCATTTTTCATAATAATATTATTAACGTTTTCAATTTGCGAGGGAGTCGAGGCGGCACGTGTATGTGACGGCACCGGTAGATAAGTATTGGTTTTACGTATACGCATCGAATTCGAATGATGCGGCATATTACGAACACTTATTTCATCACGTTGCTTCCTTGGCTGTGAAATTCTACAATAAAAGATTATCATTAAAGGAAGGTCCTCTACTGATTGGATGGATTTACTTTTTTAATACACCCCGACCTTTTTTATGCGAAATTCTTTTTTTTACAGAAATTAGTTTAACAAAAACGTACTCAAACTGAAGCTTAACCCATTTAAGAGAATTTGGAAGATATTTCGGATGAAAGAGAATATAACATTCAAGGAAGGAAGGAAAGCATGTATATGAACCAGTTATACTAAATATAATTGTTCCTTTTACACGATACCATATATATAAGGCGTATAAAAAAGTTTAAGTGTATTACGTTTATTATTTACTTTATAACTTACCCTTCATTTTCTCTGAGATCTTCCAAAATCTCTTCGAAATGCATTTTGTTGGGTTTTTTCATTTCTGCCTCCAACATTTGCCCATAAGGTCCTCTAAGAGGTCTTTTCGAAAAGCGTTTGCAATCGTAATCACTTAACGCGGGGCTAGTACGATCGCGAGATGAAGGAGGAGTGCGATCACTTTCATTATCCGATATCGAATCGGTACGTAAAAAAGGGCAACCTTTAAGACTTGGCATTGATGAATCATCTTTCTCTTCCGAACTTTGACAACTAAAGCTACTCATAATGGCATTTTTTGTCCAAACCGGTGTATTTTTGCATTCCGATTCGGGAGTATTAAGATCAAAGGAATTTTCATTTGTCACCGGGCTATTAATATACATTATATTATCGTCGAGTGCATCCGATTTTATGGCATTCAAATTCGCTATACTGATATCTAAGGACAATGGTTTATTATTATTGGTTGCAGTATCTCCGTCAGCAGGTTCTTGCCAGTTTTCTATATAGATACCCTTACGTCTCTTAGACATATCAGCTTTACGGCGTTCATCAGAACTGTGACGTGCTGTAATACCCTCCAGAGAAGATCGCTTCTCTAGACCTAATTCCATATCATCATGACTATAGCGTTTCTTTATTATTGGACTACCTAAAGATTCCTGATGGTTTTCTGGTTGCTTTTGAAGTTCCTCATCGAATCCTTCCGATTTCTTTCTCAAAATAGCATTATCATCAACATCGAACGAAGAACGACTCACTGCAATGGTGGGAACATTTTCGTTTCGACTGATTTGCTCGTTTTTCGCTTCAGCCGTCTCTATTTGACATTGCTGCAAAGTGATTAGCGGTTGCATAGTTTCCGGTATAATACCGAATTCTTCGGGTGCTACTTCTACCCATTCGGGCGGTGGATTTTCCAATCCCCATTCTTGAGCGGCACACTCGTACACGGGAACTGGTATTAAACAAGTTGTGGCGGTTTGAAGGAAATTATCTGGCGGCGACTCTAAAGGCAATTGCTCCTCCATTAACGTCGCCAAATTTGGCTCAAATAAATCGATTTGTTCCGGTAGTTTTTCAATTGCCTCATTGTCCTGATGGAAGCTATCTTCCAATTGTGTGCAGTCAACCGTGGCAGGTAATTCCGAGGCTTCAATTGCGTAATCATTATCCGATTGTATGGTATCGGTTAAAGATTCCATTTTGGCATGCGATGCCACCATTGTGGTAGTTACAATTGCCTCAGCTGTTTCAGGTACTTCATGTATCGCTTCCGCCATAAACACTTCTTCTTCGGGTATAATGTCGGGCGATTCCATAACGTCTTCTAGACTTTTGTCTTGACCATAACATAAATTAATACTGCGTTCAGATTTCCCCTTTAATGGAATATAAATCCAATCCGGTTGGGGTTTTTTTCCAGATATATCCTGTTCCGGTTCCGGTTCTTTAATGTTTGCTAATTTATCCTCTTTTTCTTCGATTTTTTTACGCGGCCACGTTAAATTCTCGACAACACTGCAAATTATTGAATTTGTAGGGCTTGTACTTTCAACGGCTTTTTCGCGACGCAAACGATCACGCAAAGCACTTAACGCAGACTTTTTATATTTTCCCGATGTATAATCAATTTGCGAGAAAGAAGCCGAACGAAACGGTATACCTTTCTGGGCATATGAACCAATAATTGTCCGCGATTCTGGTTTATTCAATTTGGTTGCAGCCGATAAACTAATTTCATTTGCTCTTTCATTCGAACCGCACACTCCATTTGACGATGCGTCTGTTTTTGTTGCTTTTAATAGCCGTGATGATGGAGGAGGCGGTGGCGGTGGCGGTGATCTAGATTTCTCTCGTCCTAATTGTAAAGACTCCAAATTTGAGAGACTCATATTCGCTTTAAGAGTGGGAGATGAAAGCATTGACGTCGTTCTACCGCAGCCGCGATTGTTTATATTTTTCTCTGCTAACGTTTGTTGCTGTATTTGGCCCTGTGAATAAGGCGCGTGCTGTTGCTGCTTTTGCTGTTTTGTTAATTCGGTTATTGCTTGGGAATGGCACTCATTATCGATATGATCCATTGGCAATATATCAGTTAAATGAGGTGACGTTAATGTCAACAAAGTGTCTGAATTCTTTTCCATTATTAACGATGCATTTTCATTGGCACTTTCATGATTCCCTCCATCATGACATGAGGTCAACGGCGAGGCATGATCTGTTTTATCAAAACTGTTCGATGGCGAAGGTAAACCGTGACGCGGCTTACGGGGCGGTGGTATAGGCGGTGGTGTCGGCGACGAACGATTACCGCTACCTACCCTTAATAATTCGGTTAACTCTTTAAGTTTTTCCGATTTTTCCGATGATTTACGATTTCTCATTGCATTATTGGCAGCATCAATCGATGATAATGAGGTTACACTAGCATTGTTCGGTGACGACTTGCGACCAAAACCCAATCGTTGAAAACGATCTAAAGTATTTCGTCGCTTTTCCATGGCGTTCTGGAACCAAAAAAAAAAAAAAATAATGATAATAATGAAAATTGGAAAATGTTTTATACACACTCCCTTACGTACTCGCACACACATACACACACACACACACACACACACACACACACACACACAAAATAAACACATTTCAATCAGAAATACGCAACAACTTAATATGGTTGCTTATCTCAACAACAACACACATATATTTTTCAAATTTTATGGGCTCTTTCTTTTAAAATATATTGTAATGTGGTGGTTATGTCTATGATGATGATGATGATGATGACGATGATGGTGCGATGATGCTAGATAATACTTCTCCATATATATTGCGCGTTTTCTTTTGCCACATATATATATATATATATAGTCTTCTTATCCGTTTACATGCAAAGCATTTAATAATCAAATCATTGTTTGAAAAAAATATTTTGTAAAGATTTCATGCGAAATGAAAACAAAATTAAATTTTTTAAAATATTGCGAACGAATTTTTCTTCTTTTTTTTTTTTTTTTTTTTGATTAAGTTAAACATAAACATTTACAACAAAAATATACATAAAATTATAAACGCAAACATATACAGAACGCTTGACTATCGCTATTAATTGTATGTATGCATGTGCGTGTGTGTGTATGTTCATCACGCTGACTAGTTCGGGGGAGAAAATGCCAGACGAAAAAAGCATTTTTTTTTTTTTGAAAATTGTTTAGAAAAATTCTGCATTCGAACAATTAAATTGAAAATATTTTCGCCCGTTTTGATGATAGTGTGCTCGCAACCCAGTGACTCATAATTTTTAATTTTTTTTTTTCTTTTTTTCTTGTTATTAGCAATAATTTTATTTGCAAACGCACGCAAAGAAATTGGCCGCATACAATGGATGCCATATCATGATTCACGAGACAAATGTTAAGCGATTTAATAGTTTTGCAAATAGGTCGATTGTTGTTAAACTCAAACGATCAATTAAGGACATGCCTTTAAGCAAATACATTTATTGTCAAAATAAAAATAAATCAAATTGACATGTCAACCTGCTCGTTTCACATAAATGCTATTTGATTATGACTTATGCATTTTGATTAGGACATCATGATATAGTCAAGGCGAACATTGTATTTCTGGCAAATATAATTCAAGAGCTTCTGTACGTACGTACGAACGTGAAATCTGACAGTAAATTTATATATATATAAAGATCCCCGGCTTGAGAAGCCTTCAAAGTTTTGATTGATCGGTTGTAAAACTAGATCAAGTTTCTGTAGTTCTTTAGGTAAATATTTGAAGTCTATTAAAATCTAAAGTAAAGCAGAGGAGACGGATGCGAAGGATAAGTTCGAGACCTTAACACGCAAAGATATTTACCAGCTTCCTTAAGAGAGCCGCTAACAGAGCTCTATTAACTCGTTAGGAACAAGATACGGTTGGATTTGAAAGCCAACTCCGTCTACATAACATATTTTTGTGCACATCTCATGAATCTATATGAGAATAGCTTTCGAATGAGTTAAAGAAATTCAAACTTTTCTCTCCACAACTATTTTCAACGGAAGGAGGATAAATTTGCATTTCTTTAGGTCATGATGCGAAAGGTATTTTCGTAAAGATTCACAAGGAAATCCCTTAAGTGTTCTAATTTGAATGGAGTAGGGTTCCAAATTCAATCACATCTTGTTCCGAATAACTTAACACAGCTCTATTAAATCCTATTATAGCGTTAAGAGCGTTCCTTAAGGTCTCTTACGGACGTAACAGAGCTCTGTTACGGGAATTGGTAGTGGCCTTCCTTGTTAAATTCGAAGTTATTTTCATATACTTGCAGAGAGATTAAAACGCATGAAAAAATATCTCAGATATTAAAAACTTTGTAACCAAAATTCCGGAAACCTTTTATCATTATGTACAGATATCAAGCATAAGCTTAGTAGAAGTTCACTGAATTTTCTTATCAATTTTGCGCAGACATCATCAATTTAATAAACAATCTAACGAGAACAGGACCCAATATCCATAAGAATAGAAAACATGATTAATGAAATGAGAAGAAAGTTCACTTCGCTGCAGGAATTTAGTGGAATATTATCCACCCCTTAACACAAAACAGATAAACTAAAATCTTACAGTTAGAGTAAAACCGATTAATAATAAAATTCAGTTTAGCCGTACAAGAACAAGTAAGAAACCTACAGTCAGGCATCTTCAACTGTTAAATAGCTTACACCACTTTGTCTAATGGAATTCGTGATTTATTTATTTTCGTGATAACATAAAAAAAATTTCACTATGTTTTATGTGTTGGCATACGGGGAATAATGTAAAGTTATATTTAAATATCATTAGCAAAGAACCAAATCAAGAATTTTTTACAGACCTCTGTTAAGCCATTAACAGAATTAAGTTAAACTAAGTCTCGGAGGCTTTTAAGTCGAAATATAATTAAAATAGAACTTTTCGTGCATTTTTTTACAAAACACCATAAACAAAACATGTCTTTATGTAAATTAACTAATTTTTGAAAGGACACAATTTTTACTTTTACTGTGGGCAAACCACACCCTGTGAAAAAATGAAACTAGCACGGCATGAATCTCCTGTTAATAGCATTTTTAACGATGTGAAGATTATATTAAATTTTGCTCGAAGAATTTTTTTATGGGACCTTGCAAACTGTCGTACTTCACATAGGTTAACACATAAGCAATGTTTGAAAAGTCAGTGTGCGCAAACCATGCTCTGTGAGAAAATGAAACCAATCCGGCATGAAGCCTCTGTTAATAGCCGTTCCAAAGATCTGCAATTTATCTTAAGTTTTGCTCGGAGAAGTTTTGGATGAAACCATAAAAATAGTTGTACTTAATATAGATTAACATAAAAGAAAAGTTTAATAGGGCACTGTGGGCAAACCATGCTCTGTGAGAAAATGAAACTAGTACGGCATTAACTCTCTGTTAATAGCCTTTCCAACGATGTACCGGTTATGTCCAGTTTTGCTCGGAAAATTTTTTTGTAGAATTTTAACAATTGCCGTACTTCACATAATATCGACTCATATATAAGCAATATACATTATGAATTCCAATACTGGTTTTTGGACACACGCACAACGGCAATATCAGTATTTGAAGACCGATATGCGCCTATGTGGCACATAGACAAGGGGAAAACCGCGGATCCACAATTTGTTTATAACTAACTCCTAAGAGATTTTTGGATTTTCATGTGTTCTCGTATACTTCGAAGAAATTGCGAACGAAATAATAAATTTTTTTTATTTTTATTTTTTGATAGTTCGTAATATATAAAAAAAAATATATATATGTATATATATTTTAAAATTGAAATTTATTTTTATAATCTTTTCAAAGATCAGAGAATGCGTGATTTATAGTTTTGTTAATAATTATCCAAGAAAGAAAGAAATCAGATAAACTTTATATAAAATTCCGTAAATAAAATGCAAAATTTTAATAGCAGCAAATAAGCGAACGATCTCTTATTATTCTTTCTATTTTTGTTGTTGTTGTTGTTGTTTTTCTTTGTTGGCATTTTAAAAGACGATACAAAATCAATAAATAAAAACATAATTAAATTTAAATATAAAATATTGTTTTTATTCTTTGCTCTATTGTGGAAAGGTCGAGAGATATATTAAGTTCAAGATAATCTTGACTATGCTCCACAAATTGAATTTAGATAATTAATTGCACTGTGGTAAAAGGGTATATTAAGTTTGTGCGGATGTTTGCAACGCCCAGATGGACTTAAGATAGACCCACAGTTTTTTATATTGATCGATTCAGAATCATTTCTTGCGTCTATCTAAGCTTGTCTATCTATCTGCCTGTCTAGTTTTCTTGTGGTCAACCTATAGGTCGCAAATTTTTGAGATAGTTTGATGAAATTTGGCACACCGATAGATTTTGGCCCATGGGCGTGCACAATTGAAAATGGTTCAGATCGGATCATCTTTTCCTTTTTACCACATATAAAGCTTTATTCTCAAAAGTCCTTATATGGATAACCATAATAAGAGACGTGGTTTAAGTTATTATAATAGTGAGCTGATTTCCACTATAGCGCTTTTAACCTTTTTCTTTCTTTACATATCCACTTCGGATTAGCCTTTATTTAATAGAAAAAGTACATTAGTTTCGAATTTTGACTATTTTTTTCCGATGTAAAAAAAAGAGAAGAAAAGTGGGCTTGAAGCGAAATTTTTTAAGCGGAATGAAAAAGTTATCATACATTTTGCTTCCTATAGTCAGTTGGTTGTCTATTAACTTGAAATATGATAGCAAAACTTCGGAATCCTGATAACCGATCTTCTTCAAGCGTCAAGCAAGTAAGAAAGCATCCCCTTGAACGACCACATTATACTATGTTTTAAATTTGTTTTTGTCCTATGTTGTAGAACTGTGAACTGCGCAATCGGAACGATTTTTGTATTAAACTCTTGCATGACCTTGGGATTTATAAGACAATCTTAAATAACAAACACTTGTAGCAAGCCTGCGACGAAATGAATCTGAAATAAAAAATTTCATATTCGCCTTTGCTTATCCTTAATACACTTTTGTATAAAGTTTGGCAAGTAAATGTCTATATAAAATCGAAAAATGGATAAAGTTGTAGTCAAAGGCGCTGCCTGATGAGGTAGGAAAGAAAAGAGTTCACGAACTTAGGTTGGATAAACATGGTCCTATGGGGGCGGTCCGCTAATTGTTGGTGGAACTTGTGGTTGCTGCGAGCTTCCACAAATCGGAAGCATGTCATTTGAATAGTTTCTATTACACATCTATATGAACGTTCTTTTCTTTAAGGAGTCTTTGAAAGTAATATTTTTGATTTTTAGATTTAAAATATCCGACCAATATTCATTTCTAGAGTTGTAAGTTAAAGCTTTTGACCAATGTTAAGATGCCTATGGGTGAATCGCCCAGATTTCTGAAGAAAAGTTTTAATTATCAATTAAGGGCACAGGTGGCAAAGACGTCATGCTTAT